TCACAAGCATTTTCTGAGTGAATAAATAAGTAAACCAGTGAATGCCAATAATGAACTTATTCTATATCTCAATCTCTTTTAACCCCATTTAGACCCACTTTTATGGTAAGAGTATGGCCATCGAATCAGATCATTTCAACTTTTCTTAAATTCTCAGGAGCCAAGAATGATAATATTACAGAAATTACTTCCTGGGGGACTATGTGAAAATGGGACCCAACTCCATTATTCCCTTTCGAAATAACATAATGCCTTTGGAAAGTTCTTAGAAAAAAAAAATTTTCAAACAGACCCAACTTCTTATTCTTTTACAACAGGCGCCAATAAATGAAGTCATTTTTCTAGAATCATCATCGTAATTCAGGATAACAGATTTGCTTTATTTTCTAAAAACCCAGTGCTCCTTAAACAGTGAGTCTCAAAAGTTGCCTCCTTGACTAATATGGTGCCATTTGTAGTGGAGTCTACTCTGCTATTTTCAGCACGATTTGCTTAGATTGGTGGGGAATAGAGCAATGAAAAAAGCAACTTCACGCATACCCATTAGTATCACTCAGTTACACCCACATCACCACCATGGTTCATTTGACTGCTGAGCCGTACTATGATTCCTACAATTTTATTCTTTCAGCTTAAATATTGATGAAACACCTTGCTGGGGCTAAGATGGGGTACAGTTTACTTAAATTAGTCTCAAAAGTAAAGAAATGAACTGGCTCAAAAAGATATTTCCATTTACAGTCTTTCAAGTTGCAACACAGTTCCATTTTATCATAGTCTGAATTTTATATCAAAATTAATTTTGTATCTCCAAGTAATTTTACATATCAAGTAAAATTGTATTTCAGAGGCATGCAGACAGGGAAGTAAACTGAAAGAAAGTATACGCCCCAAGTTTAAAGTCTGTTCTCTCAAATGTAGGGCTGATGAGATTTAAGTTAAGTACAAAACACTGGGGGTCCAGCGTGAGCAAGCAGGTGTATTGCTCAGAGTCACTGTAGAGAATATGCTGCAAAAGGAGGCTCAGGGGAGCAGCTGGGAAGTTACTCTGGTCTAGGTGGTCAGGGATGGACCTCGTGGGGGGATTGATTTTTGAACAGAGACCTGAAAAATGAGTTGCCTGGCCTGAGTCTAGGGAAACTTAAGAAAAGCATCCCAGGCATAGGGGACAGCAAAGAGAAGGTAGTGGGAGAATGTGGTGTGTTTGAGAAACCACAGGAATGTTCAGAATTTATGGTGGCGAGTCTGTTTCAAACCAGGGATTAAAGCTTTGTAGCGTTAGCACTGGACTATGGCGTGTTTAACTCTACGGGACCCAGTGCAGTGATGTGGTTCTTTGGGGTAACGATGGCAAGAGCAGTCTGAGGGCCACGTGCAAGTTGCACGCGATCTTCCCACTGCACTGAGAGCAGCGCGTGGGGAGGACGAGCATCCTACCGGAGGGAGTGAGGTCACCTGGGTTCTGGTCGCTCATTGGCCACCAACTTAGTGGAACCCTAGTTAACATCCCTTGATGTCTCTGGGCGTCAGTTTCCTCCTAGGTAAAGTGGTGGGATAGGATTCTATGAACTCTGAGACAGAGACACAGCACACATGCCTCATCTTATACACCAATTCCAATTGGTAGCGATGTCTGCCTCTGGCCCAGGGCTCACAGTGGCATCCACAGACCTGCCAGCCCTGCCCTGCTCTTCTTTTCCAAAATATTGTGTGATCATATGAGAAAGAAGATTTGGCATATGTTCACATTAAAGGTATATGATCGGCTTGAATTTCCTGTGCATGTTTTCTTGCTAGGAGAAGACAGAAAGAGTGAAAGAGCTAAGAAGGCAGAAAGGTGGGGGCAGGAAGAGGAGGAAAGGAAACATAGGCTGTGGATGATACCAAAATGGGTAAGGGGTCATCAACAAGTTCATGCCGACACACACATTGTAAGTATCTGGATTTTCCTTCCAACACACATAATTTTGAAATGCAATCTGTTTTTCATTACGGGCCTAATTTGTCAAATCTATTACCCTTGGCTAGATTTCAGGTAGCTTATAAACAGCTAATGTAGGCGAGTAAGAAACACCCACCAAGCCTCTGCTGGAGCCTGTGGTACCAGGGGTGAACGTCTCCCGCCCACCCTACAGGACAGAGGCCCAGAGCTGCCCTCTCACTAGCTCCTCCAAGAGGGGAAGTCAACATACAAACACACTCTCCTTTCTTGTTCTTGAATCTTGTACTGAAAGGTCATTCAGAATTTCAATATCTAAATGATTCTAATCTAGACTGGGTACTGTTAGATTCAGGGAAAAAAAAAACAATCGCGCTCAGACACACACACAAATCCCAACTGCCCACTCTTATCTTTCAGTGTTGAATTCCACACTCTGAATTGCCACCATAAGGAGAGCCCACGCCTGATCTGTCTTATCTTCCTTTCTCTTAATTTGACAACTTGCCTGTTCTCACCCCAAGGCACTTAAATATCTAGGCACAGATACAGATGCTATAGATACAGATATGCCGTTTCCTGAGTCAGCATCTTACCTCAAATCCCCATCAACTGCTTACCAATGATGCCAAAACAATACTCCACTAACTTCACTGCAACTTAGCCTTTCTAAATGTTAAGACAATGAAAGGGAAATGTGACCCCAACATTGCAGAAGTTCTACAGAAACTGGTCTTTTCTTCAGGTTGCTCTACTGACCCACAAGAATGGATCTTTCCCTTTAAGTGGGCTGAAAAATGAACTGACTAATATCAACTGCGCCTGCTCTATCTTCCTTCCGTTTTTATAATACTGATAATAATTTGCATTTAAGTGGCACCCAACATTAACACAGCATTTACAAACCATATCATGGGGGCTTCCCTGGTGGCGCAGTGGTTGAGAATCTGCCTGCCAATGCAAGGGACATGGGTTCGAGCCCTGGTCTGGGAAGATCCCACATGCCGCAGAGCAACTGGGCCCATGAGCCACAACTACTGAGCCTGCGCGTCTGGAGCCTGTGCTCCACAAGAGAGGCCACCATAGTGAGAGGCCCACGCACCACGATGAAGAGGGGCCCCCGCTTGCCACAACTAGAGAAAGCCCTCGCACAGAAACGAAGACCCAACACAGCAAAAAATAAATAAATAAATTTAAAAATAAATAAATACTCCTGTTCTCTGTTTAAAAAAAAAAATTAAAAACAGGAAAATTTAAAAAAAAGAACCATATTATGCAGCTTGATCTTTGGCAAGCACCTGGTGTCGTAAGTGGGAAAAGCAAGCCTCTGAGGGTAGAGCAATCTCAGCTGCCCTCCACCACCTTCTAAATCCTATGCTGGCAGCAGGTCCATCAGGCCATGTCTGTCCTCTAAGCAAAACCCCACTTTACTGATTTGGCTGTTTCAAATTAAGGCAGCTCCTGGTAGCCACCCAGACATGTTCCTTGAAGAAGCCCTCTCTATTTCTGACAGCATCACAAGTGACTCTTTTGTTTCTTTGTTTTGTTTTGTTTTTAATTAATTCCCCTCTGCCCTTTTACTTTGGTCACACTAGTCCACTGAAGTTACTGATGACAAACCTGGCGGAGCCCAGTACATTCCCGTGAGTCAGCAAACCGTGGTGCTACTCATATCCCCTCATTCCTGGAGGCAGAGATGACACCTCGTTTAACATGAGCTAGTTATCAACTATAGCCATCAACTGTGACTGATGCGCCTGAAAATGGCGATAAATCAATCCTTCCGTCATCTGTTCAATCACAGAGGCTGGGGAGACCTAGCAAGAGAAATTCCTGAGTTTTTTTATTTAGAAGCTCAAACACTGTCGGGGTTACCAGGCTACTACTTGACGGTGGCCTGACTCAGCCCAGGGAACTGCTAAGTCAATCAAGTACAGGTCTGTGTGTGGGTCTAGTTCTACGTGAACAAAGCAAGTTCAACAAAATTCAAGGGTTCAGTGAGCAAAATTCCAAGGTCAGTCTCTGCTACATCCCTGCCCTGGTTTTGTGGAGGGTGAAAGGGCGGTCAAGTGATGCTATTCTTGGTCCCCAGTCAGCTGAAGCTGGAACAATATAAACTTCAAGTCTTGAAATGGAGCAGGACCCTACGGTCTTTCCTCCCCCAGCCCATGTCCTCTGCCTGCCTTCTGTCTGTGGAAAAACTTAGCCAACAAATAAGTTTAATCAGAGAAGTGAGAAAATGCAGAAGCAAAGGAAAACGAGACTAAGTAATAATAGTTCAGTCATTAAGCAAAGTTAAGGACCTTTAGTCCCTCCTCAAGGGCTAAAGATCATACTCTGAGCCATATCCTGTGAGCTGTCTTGTAGATACTGAAACCCTCACCAGGTGGAAGAAGTTAACTACAAGATGCCATGACATAAGCAGCCACAATTTCAAGAGCTGGCCTCAAAGAAATAGAAACAAACCGACCCTGGAACTGCAGACTAACTGCACCTGAAACAATCAAGATGACGCTGGTCAGACCACCGATGACCAATTTCAAGATGACGGCCAGAGCTGACTGTGCTATTTCTGCACGAAGCCCCCTCCCTCCATCTATAGAAGCTCCCGACCACTGGTTGTCAGTGCAGGGGAGCTGGCCTTTGGACGGGCATCCACCCCCGCATCCAAAATAAAGCAAACTTTCCTTTCCACCAGCCTGGCCTCTTTATTGGCTTTTGAGCAGCGAGCAGCCAGGCCCCACTTTCGGTTACAGTCTGAGTGACATAAATTAAGTTTTCCTCAATAATAATAACCAATCATTTTTAGAAAATATACTTCTAATTCACCCCACTTCAACTTTCTTGTTCTGGGAACAATATGTACACTCCAAGATACACACACTCTCCTTTTTTTATTGTGGTGAAACATACACAATGTAACATGTACCGTTGTCACCATGTTTAAGGGTACAGTTCCGTGTACCCTTGGCATGAAGTGCATTCACACCGCTGTGCACACCCTCCCTGTAAAGGATGCCACCCGCTTACATCACATTTGTATGAGAGATATTTTACTAACCTCTCACTTCCTGTTGCTGATACTCTTTGTTTTTAAGGATGGGGTGTGAAATCCACATCCACGGGTGATGCTTGCGGAGCTGTGGGAGCAGGTAGTGGGTTACAAACCCCACAGCGCCGGCCAGGACAAACAGCACGATGCTGAGAAACGGCTGCGACAGAAGAGGGTAAGCGTCAGTGTGCAGCCTGAAGGACGGGGAGGGGTGCCCGCAAAGAACACGGAACACTGTCCTCCCTCCCTGCCCCTCCTAAGGCATACACAGCCAAACCGGGTTCTTGCTTCAGGCCTCTGAAAATTTCTCCCGTATCGCATGAAGTTGATCTCTGTGTTGAGAACCACTGAGACAGGGTGGAGAAGAGGCTGAGACATTCTGCCCATGAGAAAACGTTTTCTTTTTTTTTGTTTTTTTTTTTTATAGAGAAGGGATGGAGAATAACAGATTTAGCTAACAGACTTTTCCTCATTGAAAGGAAAGTGAGACAGCAACTGTCTGCAAGCACCTTCAGCCAGAAGTCCCATCTGGAGCACTCTAATTTTGTTTCTCCAACTGAAAATTCTGTTCCGATAATCTTTTTGGCTCTGTGACCTCCGTCTCACTCCCGACGGTGAGTCCTCCCTTCTCTGCTAGTAGTAGTGAGTTGGGAGCCTGTCTTACTACTGCTGACTGTCCTCACGGTGGATTCCACGAAATGCGCAAACAAAACAACTCCCCAGGTGGGGAAACAGAAAGGGTACGAATGCACTCCGTGATGTGGATCAAAGCTCCTCTTGGACATAACTCACAACACATCTGGATATATATCCCTTCAAGCCCTCAACTGGCCTTTTCTGTACTTCCCCTGGCTCCACCATCCCGTCAATAGTCTGGAGCTGCACAGTGGGCTTTGTTTATTACAGAGAATAAGGAGGGGGTAAGAGCGCAGAGCCACATGGATACATACTCGCAAGGACAGGAACACAGTGCTGGCACTGACGGCAAAGGACAGAATGGCAGCCACCGAGCAGGTGATGAGATCCGATTTTAAGATATCCTTCTGTAAACAGAAAACAAGGGTATAGTTTGCTCTTCTGTGTTTCCCTCAGCTATTCCGGGTGACCAGGTAAATCAGGGGACAGGATCTTGACCCTGGATAAACTACACCTGCAGCCCATCACTGACCTGATCAATTCCCAATGGCACACACTGGATGGACTGTTTGCCACCTCCTGTTTGGGGAATATCAGGGAAACTAAGGCAGAGGGTGAGGAAGAGGAAATGCGGACTGCAATGCCTCCATCCGCTAGCCAGGGAGAGAAGAAAGGTTTTCTAACCCGTGGAAGAGGCATAATTTTCTTCTCTACGAGCAGATCAGATGCAACATGCCCAAGTGTGATAAAGGAGGATAAAGCGCAAATCATCTCTACTTGCCTTTGGCATGGCTTATGTTTTAACATGCGCACAGCCTGGGTATGCCGAACAGAGGCCTCTTACACGTTTACCTATTTCTTCGGCCCAGAACAGATTTTACATTTTAATTCACCAGTCAAATTGGGTAAAGGCTATTTCCAAATAATTTAAGTATCTTTATATTATGTACACATATACAGAAAATGAAATGTCGGTAACTTGCTAATAATTTTCCATCATGCAAAATCGTGGTGTGAGCAGGCAGTAGGGAAACAAAGCAAAGTTAGACCAAAGAATGTTATTAATACTGCAGATACATGAAGGAAAGCGTGTTAGCTCAAACAGGGTACAATATTGCTGACTGATAGAGCTAAAAGGAACCTTAAGGGATCATCAAATTTCTCCTCTCTTCAGAGACCAATTAGCTGCAGTACACAATTATTGAACATTTTAAGGTATCACACACTGTTATTTGAAAACTCTGAAATCATTAAACATACCAATGTATCGTATTGAAAAGGAATTATGCCTCTTAAATAACAGTTTTGAATGTTATCTACCAGAAAATCAGACAGAATATACAGCTCTGTTTCCCTACATCCTCCCTTTTTTTCTTTTCACACAAACCGTATTTCCGTTTACCTACATTTCCTCCCTGACCTTTTTCTTTTCTTGTCTTTCTAAAATTAAAATGTGGAGTTCCTTGCAAGTCATACTACTGGCTTCCTGACTGAATTGATATCCAAAGTGATGGAAAGAAATCAGGAAGGCAGCTTAAATGGAATAAAAACAACCTGAACCATGTGATGAAAAATCAACACGGCTTGGTTGGGATAATCAATAATACAGTGAAGAGATACATTCTCAACATCAATTACCAATTAGCTGCTAAAGTTGTTTTGAATTTCCAATCTCAAAAGTTTACAATTCACATACAAGTATTGAATAGATAAGGAATCGTAGTGATAAACCAAATTCTAGATTTATTCTTAGTAATGGTAATCTGATTTTTGAGCTGGGAAAATCATTGGTTTTTAATTCTGAATCTATAAAATTTTTGTGATCAGAAGTGTTCTTGAAAATTTACTACTGGTAAATGGCAAAAATTTGTTACCTCCTTTCATCCCAAATGCTTACAAAAGGCCAAACCTTTCTGGAGGAAAGTTCTGTAATTCACTGCATCTTTAGGCTGTGGAGATATGTTAACTTTTATTTCCTATTTTTCACTGACATGGTTTATGTCACTTAAAAATGGCTGAATGCTGGGCTTCCCTGGTGGCGCAGTGGTTGAGAGTCCGCCTGCCGATGCAGGGGACACGGGTTCGTGCCCCGGTCCGCGAAGATCCCACATGCTGCGGAGCGGCTGGGCCCGTGAGCCATGGCCGCTGAGCCTGAGCGTCCGGAGCCTGTGCTCCTCAACGGGAGAGGCCACAACAGTGAGAGGCCCGCGTACGGCAAAAAAAAAAAAAAAATTGCTGAATGCTTATCCAAAAGGGAGATACATATTTTCCCAAATATTCTAATTTAAAATTGTGTCATCTTTAATTGACCACTCATGCCTGTTTAAAGGCAAAACAGTGGGCCACCAGGGCAAGTGTTGGGGGGGGAAGGGTTGCATCTGCATGTTTCTTAAAGCAATAGGGAGGATGACCTCAGATTATTTTTAATTTTTTTCCAAAGTTGGACGATATACAGGAAGTTCACTGATTTTTGTCAGTGTTGTCAGTATCCTTGTAAATACAAGCCTTTATACAGCCTCTATTTATTATCTTTCTGTCCATTTCTTTTCTTTGTTGTAATTTTTAAATAGCTCTATTGAGATATAATTGACATACAAAAACCCTGTGTGTGTGTGTGTGTGTGTGTGTGTGTGTGTGTGTGTGCATATAGAGAGAGATATGGTGTACAATTTGATGACTTTTGACCTAGGTATATCCCCATGAAACCATCACCATAATTAAGATAATTAGCATGTTCATCACACACACCCCAAATTTCCTCTCCTGACCTTTGCTAATCTATCTCTCTCTTCTCTCCTCACCTATCCTCAGATAAACACTGCCCTGCTCCATCACTATAATTTGTTTTCATTTCCTAGAATGTTATATAAATAGAACTGTAGACAATGTATTCTCTTCTGGTCTGGCTTCTCTCACTAGTATAATTATTCTGAGATTAATCCATGTGTTATCTGTATCAATAGTCCATTCCTTTTCAGTGCTGTATAATATTCCTCTGTATGGATGTACCCCACACTGTGTTGAAACATTCACTCATGGATAGACATCTGACTTGTTCCCAGTTTGGGGCTATTATAAATAAAACTGCTATGAACATTCACAGACCTGTTTCTGGACACATGCTTTTGTTTCTCTTGTGTAAATACCTAATAGTAGAATGTTTGGATCATATGGTAGGTTTAGGCTTAACATTTTAAGAAACTGCCACATGATTTTCCCAAGTTGTTGTAACCATTTTACATTCTCACTGGCAGTCTGGAGGGTTCCAATTGCTTCGTATCCTTGACAAGGATACACACTTGGTGTAGTCAGCATTTTTAATTTTAGCCATTCCAGTGGTTGTGTGGTACAGTGGTTCTCAACACTGCCTTCTCAACAATTGTATCAGTTGGGGACAATCTGACCTCCCAAGGGATTTTGGAAAGTCTGGAGACATTTTTGTTACATTTGGGGTAGAGGAAGAGTGTTACTGGCATCTGGTGGGTAGAGGCCCAGGATGCAGCTAAACATCCTACAATGCTCAGGATAATCACTGACAACAGAGAATTATCAGGCTCAGTGTCAATAGTGTGAGGTCAAGAAAGCTTGATATAGCAGTATCTAATTATGGTTTTAATTTGCATTTTCCAATGGCTAACAATGTCGAGCATTTTTCATGTACTTAATTTTTTAAAGGTCATTTACAATAGCATCAAAAATAGGAAATATTTAGGGATAAATACGACAAAAATATGCAAGATCTGTACATTGAAAGCTATGAAACATTGCTGAGAGAAACTAAACAAATAAATGGAGAGATATACCATGTTCTTGGATTTGACAATTCAATATTGTTAAGGAATCAATTCTTACCAAACTGATTTACAGAGTCAATGCAATCCTAATCAAAATTCTAACAGGATTTTTCTGTACAAATTGGCAAGCTAATTCAAAAATTTATTTGGAAATGCAATGGACCTAGACTAAGTAAGACAACTTTGAAAAAGAAGAACAAAGTTGGAGGACATTCAATATCTGGTTTCAGAACTTGTATGTGCAAAACTACAGTAATCGGGTATTGATGGTATTGGCACAAAATATACATCAAGGTTAACTGAACAGAATAAAGCGTCCATAAATAAACCAACATGTAAATAACCAATTGATTTTAAACAAAGAGGTCGGGACTTCCCTGGTGGCACAGTGGTTAAGAATCTGCCTACCAATGCAGGGAACACGGGTTCAATCCCCAGTCTAGGAAGATCCCACATGCCACGGAGCAATTAAGCCTGTGCACCACAACTACTGAGCGTGCACTCTAGAGCCCAAAAGCCACAACTACTGAGCCCATGTGCCACAACTACTGAAGCCACGTGCCTCGAGTCCACGCTCCACCACAAGAGAAGCCACCACAATGAGAATCCCGCACGCTGCAACCAAGAGTAGTCCCCACTCGCCACAGCTAGAGAAAGTCCGCACAGCAACGAAGACCCAACACAGCCAAAGATAAATAAATAAAATTAATTACTAAAAAAAAGACAAAGAGGTCAAGGTAAAATGGCACCTTTCCCCAAAATAAGGTAGAGGATAAATCTTTTTAACGAATGGTTCTGGAGCAGTTGAATAGCCATCTACAAAAACAAAACAACAAAAAGCTCCTTTACACTTGCCTCACATCACGTACAAAAATTAACTCAACCTGCCTCATAAATCTAAGTTACACTATCAAATTTTTCAAAGAAAACATAAGAGGAAATCTTAGTGACCTTGGGTTTGACAAAGCTTTCTTAAATAGGACACTAAAAGCTGGAATTATAAAAGAAAACAAAGTCATAATTTGAATTTTATGAAAATTTAAAACATCTGTTCTTCAAAAGACTTTGTTATAGAATGAAAAGGCAAGGCAAAGCTTGGGGAAAAAATATTTGCAAAACATACATCCAACAAAAGACTTTTATCTATAATATATAAAGAACTTTACTAATCGATAAGAAGTCCAACAACTCTTCCCTACCCCATTCCTAGCTGCACATGGGCAAAAGTTTTGAACAGACTCACCAAAGGAGATGGCAGATGGTAATTACTGAGCTTTTTCCTCGTGGTGCCAATGAATAAAAATATAGATGACTCTTAATATTGGTGAAAGTAACATCAGCAAAATAAAAAGGAAATGACTCCCTCTTTTCCTACAGCCACCAAAGAGCAGATATTATTTTGCTCCAAAAATTGTATTCTTGAAAATATTTTTTAAAAGGAACCTTGAAAGACACCTGGACCTCAGAGATTGTTGCTGTGTTTTCTGGGCCAGTATTTTTGCCTGTGGATGCTGAATCATAGTTCTAGCTGTAAACACAAATGTACATGGTTTTTCTATGAATGTTTCACAAAGGTCTAATCTTAGTGTACATATAATTTACAAAAGAAACAAAAGTTTCTTTTGTAACCATTATAAATATTATTGT